GTGTGGGGTGTGGCTGGGTGTGGGGTGTGGCTGGGTGTGGGGTGTGGGTGTGGTTGAACTGAAGACTTACATCCACACCCTTACCCACACCCATACCCACACCCACACACCCACACCCACACACCCACACACTCACACCCACACACCCACACCCACACCCACACCCACATCCACACACACCCACACCCACACCCACACCCACACCCACACCCAAAATTCTAATTAATTTAATGACAAATCAATTATTTATAGATATTCAATCAACGTGTTCACTGTATAGAAAATGAAATATATAAAAAAAAACAATCATATTTTACTACATAATGAAACAAACAAATGAAAGAAATGTTTTGAAAAGTGAATGTATGAAAGTATTGTAATGGACGATTTACTGTTTTTTCTTTTAACCAAAACCCATTATGAATAAAAAAGTGTATATGAAATTACGAATGGGAATTATATGCAGTGAATAATACAGAGAGTGCAAAAATACACTCAATCAATGAACAAAAAAAAAGAAAGAAAAAACAAAATTCTGCGTTTCTCATAGATCTGGTTGACGACTGACTAAAGATATGAATATATGTGATCATTTTCAAAAAGTTTGGTCTTGTAAAAATAATGATGATGATAAAAACTCCGCTTTTCCAATACATATTGACCTAATAATTCAATAAACTTCGTCAAACCAATGTTCGTTTCCGTTCTTACATTCCACTAAGTCTGCTGAATTTCTTACGCTTTTATTTAAAAAAAATGTTTTCTTTGTACACGTAAACACTAGGTAAAAACAACAATTTTTCGAGAAATTCTTTGTAATTGGAATTCATGTAAAAATATAATAAGTTAAAAGATCTGATACTCCTATTTACTCGATTCTGTCTCTCCTGAGACATACACTGTGATACAATGTGTCTATTTAATCGTTATTATCTTGATTTCTCTCAATATCTTGTAGCAATTATATTTTCGACTATCATTGTCAAGTAAATGATAATAGTGAAAAGAAAAAAGAAAAAGAAAAATATGTTTTTGTTGACAACAACATCTTAAATGAAATGTAATTTTGATCGTAAATAAGAAGTCGCAGCAAAAAATATTCTATACATTGAATAGCTGTATAGGCAACAATAATTGGCAGGTGTAAACAATTGTGTTGAATTTGAAAAGAATCCTTACAGACAATAGCAATTCCATAGCGTAACAAAAATATACTCACCGATGAATTACTCTTGCATCATTCATATAGTTTTTGATCTGGAAAAATGATGGGAGTGAGCTATGAGCATTATAGACGAAAGCAGTACCGATTGACTAAGATGAGCAGAATCCAGAAATGATGATAGTTTCTGACTACTTGCTTATCGTCTCAACTGTGTAAACTTGTTATACAAATTCTATGCATGTTTGTTAGGGATTGGTGAACGATGAGCACGAGGAACGATGAGCACGGAAACTTAAGCACGGATACTTAAGCACAGGAACGATAAGCACGAGAATGATCAGCACGAGAACGATAAGCACGAGGAACGTTAAGCACGGGAACGTTGAGCACCGGAAAGTTCAGCACGAAAAATAATAAGGACTTGAGATATGGGTGTGGTGTATGTGAGTGGGTTTTCTGGAGCTATGGGAGCATGCTTGTCTGAACTTACATAAGGACCTGGACCTTAACAAAAATAAAAATTTGAAGGGTGCGAGTATCAGTGTGCTTGTATATATGAATGTCAGGGTTGTAGAAACTATTAAATCCAAGAATTTCTAGACCCCAATTTGACCGACCGATTAAATTTTTTGGCACCTAGTCGATAAACGTTGTTCGAACCTAATCGATCACTATTGCTGAATTCGGGCCTAATTAACTAATCTTTTGTGAGTAGAGCCCATCGGACCCGAAAACATTTTTTCCGAACCCAGTACATTAAATGTTCAGAACAGGATTAAGTGGAGTCTGTGTAGGTATAGATGAGCTCTAGTGGATGTATGCGGGGGGTGGGAGGGGGTAAACGTGTGATTGTGAATGTGTTGTAGATGGCACAGAATCCGAGATGAGCGGAACCAATCGTTTTTGGTCTCGAACCCTGCGGGACCGGGTCGAGGACCATGTTGTCCACGTCTACACAGAAGATCAGAATTACACCAACGCACAACTCCACACCAACACTTACATCCACGCCTTTAAGTTTGTTTCGTGCTGAAATTTTTGTTGCTCAACATTCCCGTGCTTAACGTTCCTCGTGCTGAACATTCCTCGTGCTTATCGTTCCCGTGCTGATCATTCTCGTGCTTATCGTTCCTGTGCTTAAGTTTCCGTGCTCATCGTTCCGGTTCCCGTTTGTTAGTATTACTTAATTTAGAATTGTCATTTCAGATTTAATATTATGATAAGTTTTTGATAAACTAAATCAGTATTAGTTGAACGAATTTTGTTGTTTGATTTTATAATAGGAAAAGCCAATGATGAAAGAGAAGAGATCGAAATCTATAAAATTCAAAAAAAGCAAAATTTTTGTATCGTACAACACCGATCTTAAGCAAGAAGCACTGAATTCAAGTTACTATTAGAGTGGAAATGCATTAGTCAAGAGCAATGTCACTTTATATATACTTTACTAGTCGATGGTAAGAGCTCGGAAATAAACAGAACAATATAAAAAGATGTTGTAATGATCAAACAGTTTTCTCATCATATTCGATCATTTTAAAATTTTAAAATAAACGAAGATTTGAATGGTGCATCGAATAGTACATTGCAATGTGCGAAATAGAAAAGTCCATTAACTGATCTTGTTTATAAAAAGCATTTGTGATCACACAAAACAAAAAATGTTCTTTGCATCCATAAAACGAACTTTTGTCTATGCCAGTGTACACAGAACAGATTACACATTTATATTACAGTTAAACAGTATTCATTAACATCAATTGTTGCAACAATCATGAATGTAAGTAAAACATCACTATAGTGGATCTTGATGAGAAATTTTTCATTATTATCTAGAAAAGCGAGTGGGACATAGAGGATACTCCAACAACGCAATCAATTCTAGTAAATAAATTCGAATCTTCAAGATATTCGAATTGTTATAAGAAGTTTCTATCGTTCCGATTGAGTTTGTCTGTTGTATAAAAGGTGTTGAAACCCAACAGGTAACTCATAATGAATGGCTGCACTTCGCATTGCATATTCTAGCTTCACAATATGTTATTTCAAAAAAAAATTTAACATACCAAAAGATACAGCGTGAAAAGCTTTACAATCTACATAATAAAGTTTATTCTAATTATGTGTGCTCGGTTTTAAAAAAGAAGTAACATTCTGTATGATCAACTTTTGTCCTTGAGACAGCATCGTTTTTTTTTCTACATAAATTATAGAGCTTTTCACGATGCATCTTTTGATATATTCGATTTTCTTACAAAAATGTATCCTGAGATTAAAAATAAAATGCAAACTCTGGCCATTCATTATGGATCACCCGTTACTTCTTTTAGTGCTATTTGTATAGAAGATCAAATTATACTGCATTTTTTGAAAAGTATGAATCTTATTTATCATAGTGTCGTGTTCAGATTCATGCAAATTTTAATTTGATAATAAACTACCTGCGTATGTATACATTACTAAATAAAGATACAACCACACTAAATAATTAACGATACTCATCATTTTTAAATAATATTGCTCGATCAGTTTAAGTCCTAGTGGTCAGATAATTGTTATAATTTATTCCGTGGTTGTTTGAACTATACTCATCGTCAGATGGCCATCTCAACTTGTTGTACACATACACACAGACAAATCGATACAGGCGGATTTTCGCTTCTCAATTCTATCCTTTTAGCCTAGAGACAATAGGTTAATTTAAATATTCCATGTTTAGGACAATGTATCTCCAACGACGGTCAACGCGGACATGAACAATATTCCGTCAGTTCCTTCAGAAACTGATACAAAGTTTGTATCGAATTATGTTCGATAACAATCTTGCTTAGAAGATTTTTCATTTTTGAGGGGTTGGCCGACTGGAGTAAAAACACTAGTGATCATTCTGGTGTGCAGTGTTGGAGCATGTGTCATTATTGCAGCCATTGCTGTACCTCTTCTTTTAACATATAGAAACACAACATTATCGTCAACAACAACATCACCATCAACAACGAGTATGTTAGTACAAAAGAATAGTTTTGCATTAAGTATTAATAAATTCAACATCTTAGATATCCAATGAAAGTTACATCTATCGTTTGTAATCACGTATACTATGATATTAAGAAATGTCAAGATTTTTCTTTCATATGAACAAGCATTGCGACAGTTAAGCTGCTTTTTCGAAGTATAGCATGCACAATAGTAATTATTCGTAAAAATCTTAATTAAAACTCATACATGATGTTGAAAAAATGGCTTTGCAGATATATGGTAATAGCGTATTATGAACAGTAGATATTTCACGAATATGACGAATGCCTCGTTCTAAAGATCTTAAAACAAAGTGTGCATTATATGTTTCACCAACCCACTTTAGCACATGTTTTAGCATCAAAATTCCTGAATTCTAAAATGGGCAAAAATTCTTAAGAACATTTGTATTTCCGACTTTTATGTTTGACGGTAATAATTCGTAGAAATCTGAGAAAGGATGTAAGTACCTAAAAGGATTTTGTATCAGAGCTAGCGTGTGTAAGAATCTCACAAAAGCTGCTAGAATCAGAATCTCTACAACGATAAAACAATAAAGTAAGTTGTCTCAACTAGGGGTGGGAAGTTACCGTTACTGTTCCTGGGTAACGGTCTCGTTACCAGTTACCCAGGAACGGTAACGGGGAGTTACCTGTTCCCGGGGAAACGGGCCTATTATAAGGGATACCCTTGGGCCCTCAAGTCCTCTTATTGGGGGTACCCCTGGGTCCTCAAGCCCCATACTATAGGAACACCCTTGGGTCCTCAAGTCCTATTATTGGGGAGTACCCTTAAGTCCTCAAGTCCTATAATTGGGGGATACTCTTGGGCCTCGAGTCCTATTATTGGGGAGTACCCTTGGGTCCTCAAGGACAAATGCCAAAGCTGTATTTTCGCCGTATTGCATTAAGTAGGAGCCCATACATATACCCATCAATCAATAGAGCATCCTAGATAACTCTATGATTGGCTCGACATGGCTATGTGTTGTCCTTACAATAAGGGGAAAAAGGGGTCCTGAAATCTGATTGGTCTGTTTTTGGACCAATCATATGGCAGAATCCTATTTGTCAGTGTTGAGACGGATGAGAACCCCTACATATATCCATCAATCGATAGAGAATTCTCGATAACCGTATGATTGGCCCGAACATGCCCATCGCTTTCCCTTACAACAAGGGAAAAAATTTGAGCCCCCTCGCGTACCCCCAATAATAGGACTTGAGAAGCCAAGGGTACCCCCAATAGTATAGGACCTGAGGGCCTAAGGGTACCCGCCAATAGTAGGACTAGAGGACCCAAGGGTATCCCCCAATAATAGGACTTGAGTACCCAAGGGTACCCCTATAATATAGGCCTGGAGGACCCAAGGGTACCCCCATAGTATAGGAGTTGAGGACTCAAGGGTACCCCTATAACATAGGGCTTGAGGACCTAAGGGTGCCCCTATAATATAGGCCTTGAGAATCCAAGGGTACCCCCATAGTATAGGACTTGAGGATCTAACGGTACCCCCTTATAATAGGCCCGTTCCCCGTCTCCCGGGAACTGGTAACTCCCCGTTACCGTTCCTGGGTAGCTGGTAACTTTTTCCCTTGCAATCGTTACCGTTACCGTTCCCAGGGAACGGTAACTTCCCACCCCTACTCTCAACTCGATTCCGAACATTTTTCACATAAGCTTATCCTTAGGGTACACATTTATAAAGAATATGAGATGTCTTTAATCTCTCTACGACCTTTCTTCACTAAACTCTATTCGATCTCGTGGATAGAGACATGTTTGGATTCCGTGAGGATGTGGGTTGTGGAAAGAAATACACCCATACCCACACCCTTCAATTGAATGCTTTCATCAATAAAGAATATATATTCAAATCAAACAAATCGACTGCTTCCGCAGTTCTATATGTTTCTGTAGCTTCATGGGTTACCGATGTTTTTCGAATTTCCAGCTTTCACTCATTTCCATCTATGTATTGAATTCTGCAGTTTCATGAATTTCATCGACTTCGTGACTCCCTGATTTATTCGGACTGTGCCGGCACCATGGGTTCTATAAATTTGATGGATTCTGTGAATACTTTGGAATCAGTTAAATATTTGAATTCTTTAGATTTTTAAATTGCTCAGAGGTGTGTTCACTTGTACTCGACATCTAATTTTTCAATAAATAATAAAGTTCAAAAATCGTTAAGAATTCTGATTTCACGGAATCTGGTGATTGCTTTTTTCTTGCCATTAATGATAGCCAGTCTACTTCATAAATACTTCTACTTCAAAACTTTGTAAGCTACTATTCTTGAGTATGGCATCCAAATTGTCCGCTGTTGAAAGTTTCTAGTAAAGTTATATGAGAAATCATCAACACTCGATAATAATATTTCTACGAGTGGGTAAAAACAGACCTGTAAATTTTTAAAAAGTTCAACATATTGGAAAGGCATATAAGTGAAGCTCAATGAAGTTTTAGATCTACTTTTAAATAGCTGAAGTAGTTCTTTCTCCTCTTGAAATCGTATCCTTCCCATGAAATTCCAATAGTATTGGTCTCAATAATAGTTTGATGTTACTAAGTTTCCTTTCGTAGCTACTCTTCCAATACTCAATTGGAACTCAACGGGCATAACTGCAGCTGGTGTTACAGGATCGACTGGTACAGCTGCTAATGAGCTCTCTCTTCCTTTTGGTCTGTTTTTGGATTCATCTAATTCACTCTATATTGCCGATTATGGTAACAATCGAGTTCAAAAATGGCTGACGGGTGCATCGAGTGGTTCGACTGTGGCTGGTCAAGTGACTGGAGCAGGTGGTTCAGGTGCAAGCGATCTTAGCGGTTCTGCTGGTGTTGCTGTTGATTCAAGTGGCAATATCTATGTGGCTGATACACTCAATCACAGAGTTCAACGTTGGGCTAGTGGTGCATCATCGGGCACGACTGTCGCCGGCACAGGTAACAGAGCAGAGATATAGTTAGAGTTTCTTGTGTGTGTGTAGGGGGGGGGGGGGATGTATGTCTGACGTGTTCTGATTGGACATGACCAAGTTAGATGATAAACCGATAGCTTTAGTATGCAAAAGAGAAGCTTTGTTATAATCTATATCGTATTTTTTTGTATGTATACTCTCTCTCTCTCTATTAGAAAAATTGATTGTTTTAATAGAACGAATTATTACATTTGGCCTTCACAGTGTATATGTGACGGTTTGTTTTCAGAATATACATGGAGTTTTATGAAAAGCCACTGTAAATTAGATATTTTCATGAACTTCAAAAGAATCTCAGCATGAAAAAGTGTCGGATTTTCTCCTTCAAACAAGTTGGTACCCTTTGACATATAGATTCCAGAAATCTATACGATATTTTGCATAATAATAGAGCTGAAAACATGTTGTATATTCTTCTCATCTACTTTTTTTCTTATTTTTTATTTTGAATTTAGTCTCTTTTTTTAACTCATGATAGTATAAAAAGTTATATCCAAAATAAAATTCCAAAAGCTCTAAAGTCGTAATTATAGGTAAAAGATAGAGTTCACTGAGGAGTCTAGAACTTTTACTGATCAGAGCCACATGGGAAGAAAAAATTAATGCATAAAATGAGAGTTTTTTTGAATCTCTTTGATTTTTGTTCATTTTATTATGAAGCCTCAACTTTATTTATAAAAGAAGTACATCATACTTTCAAAGCAACGGTTATGTTCGAATTAGACAATTTCATTAAGAATTTTAAGAGCATGATTTTAGTCAAATGCGATAAAAGGTTAATCAATCAGATTCGAATCCAGAAATTTTGATAGACTAGATTAGATTCAGGCCCAAAAAGTTTTAGACTTGATGAACTCTAATGGAAGGTAACATGTTTCTTTGAATAGTGGAAAAGTAATATTCATTTTTCTTTTATATGTCTTAACAATTATAAGTGAATCAATACACAGGGGTAGCCGGTGCTGCAAATAATGAACTGAACTTTCCATACAGCGTTGCATATGATTCAAGTTCAGGCACACTCTATGTATCAGACTTTTATAATCATCGTGTGATGCGCTATCTATCAGGTGCATCGTCAGGAACTGTGATTGCTGGTGGAAATG